TTACACGGTAATAATTTCTCGCCCGTCGTTTTAGCGTCGTTCGTAATTTTGATCTTTCGCCTTGGAAAATTCTACCGTGACGCATAATTCGATTTATTTTTCGTTTCATTTTTCGTTTTATTATGTCGATTTTCCTTGCGCATCGATTTAAACGTCACTTACTCGCAATCGAAAAGCCTGTCTTTCGCGATAAATTCCTGGACGAATTTGGAGCAAATACGCGACGCTGCAAACGCTTTCTTTCACAATGCGCTTTGGAACCTGGAATTTTCTCTATTGTGCTTTGTTTCGGTGCTCGAGACAAAAGAACACGCGATAACCATGCTGGACCTCTTCGCACCTATTAAATGCCTTCTACAGAAAGAATCCGTTCGTGTCGACAATGTCGTCTTCAGACTACACTCGCGCATCACCGTTCTTCTACTGCTCGTTTGCACCATTCTCGTAACTGCTAAGCAATACATCGGCGAACCGATTTCTTGCATGACCGATGCTTCCATCGGTACGAATTCCGCTAACCTTTAGACCTCAAGTGTGTGAGCATTTGGGATTTCAAATTCTTACAGAAGTTGTGCTCAAGAAATTAATCGTAATAATTGTATTTATAAATCCTTTCTAAATATCTTTCCATATGTACACTGAGAAAAAGAGTCTAGTAATCAGAATCTGGTTATCAAATGTCGAATGAAGTAATGTCAATCAAATGATTAGTTAATATAACCAAAAATAATTCTTTTTAATATCTCTGTAATTATTACTGAACAATTAATTATTATATTTGATAATACTTATTAAATATTTAGAAAAATAAAATTATTTTTAGTTATATTAACTAAACGTTTGATTGAAATTATTTCATTCGACATTTTTTGGTAGATATTACTAGATTCTTTCTTTAGTATGAATATTTAATTATTGCTTGAGCAAGAGAGTTTATTAATGATAATTGGTCATAATTCATGATTTGACATGTTGCTATGGTAGACAAAGATCCCGTAAATGCATATTGCTGGATCTACAGCACATTCACGGTATCCCGACATCTGAAAGGTATTCCTGGACGGGGTGTAGCCAGTGCTGGTGTAGGACAGGCCCTTCCAGGTGATGAAGCCCGTCATCATCGATATTATCAGTGGGTCAGCTGAATTTAGAACGTTTACGATATGGATGAGGAGATAATCGATACAATATAGTTGATAAACAGTTTGTTGATGGAAACATAGAAAATATATTTATTAAACTATATATCGGAAAATATACGTATTATTTAAATAAATTATCGGTACTAAAGTCGTCATGTATCCATCGCAATTCTGTCAAATATTTGCTTTTGTTATAAAATTTTGTACAAGTTACATTTTCTCGCGAACCTTAAATCAAATCTCCGATAAAATCAAGTTATGAACTCAGCCGAAACACAAAGTTTCTTTATTGACTCGTACCCTTCAAGGCCAAAAGCTCAAGAATTTTTATGCTCGATATAAAAGTTCTCCGAGAGACTTCTACTTCCGTTAGACTTCTCTGGGAAATTCTCACCGAGGAAAGATCGACTCGGAATTCGTCAAAGGCATCCCTAAATTGTTTTTCGATGGGGCACTCTGAAAAATTGAAAGCGAACGGGAGAGAAATGCGAGGGAGAGAACGCGCGTGTGCGACGGAATTGGTCGATCGCATAAGTTCCGTATGGAATGCATACACCTACATTGCGCGTTCACGTACGCGAGATGCATGATAACGGCTGCACTTCGTTCCGATGGTCAGATCGCTCTCTCGACTCACCAGCGCATGCAGACGTATTGCGCGAGCGTGAATGAAATCTGAAACGTGAACGCGTGAATGTGAAGGAAAACATCCGGAAAGAGGACGGAAGACGGCGCGAGGAAATGGAAATAGAGATCGCGCAAATACTGGACCGTTATCCTACATCTTTATATTGCGCGATTCGCATCGTGAAAGGCAACGCACAGTAGTAGAGATTTCCTATGAAATCTTTAGGTTTTCCACAATAGAAAAATATTTAGTCAAATAATAAATTAAATATTTTCTGCTGAGCCTTTTGCAAGGAATAAAATAATTTTTGAAATAAAAAAATTTGTCTGCATAATTATACACGTTATGTTCTACGATATCTTTGTTTCTTTTTAATTTCCGACGGAGGATATAGGAGACACAATATTATATTTGTTATCTCTGTTAAAAATTCACCTTTCTTTAAAATGAGGAGAGATAAGATAAATATTTTTTAAATAAAGATTAATTTAAGAAAAATCAAAGGAAATAAGAATGTAATGTTTATTAGGTATGCTTCGTTCTCGGCTTACAAGCCATTTCTTTTTATGTGCCGCGCGCGTTATGGGGCGTCTGGGAGAGAGGCACCATAAGTCTTCTTTCGCGGGATCTTGCGTCTCCCTTTCTGAGAGACGTCTGGACCGAAGAGAGGAAGCAGCAGCTCGTCGAATATTTCACCAAAACGAATCTGCACAGTCACAACTTCTACGCCATGCGTTTCTTCGTGTGCGAGCTCTTGAACTTCTTAAATTCAGTAAGTATAATTCCCCTTCAGTTTAGAAACGGAAGAGTTTCTGCGGAAGGTACTTAAGGGATCTCGATCGGCCAACCGGGATTATGACGTCAGAAGCGAGGAAATTGCACGGAAATAACTGTGAATAATTGATTTCTGGATTCGATAATGAGTCCGGGCTAACGAAACGTGGTCGAAACTTTGCTTCGAAACGAACCCGATATATCGCACGAAAATACAACTCGAGGGCCCTTAATGTATAAAATATAACCATTTCACTTTCTTTGCGATTCAGCAAGTAAAAAAATCAACAAATTCATGCAATCGTTAAGATTCGACATTTATCGATTATTTTTATGATTATTAATTTTAAGAGTACTACAGAGAGAGAGTTAAATTAACGAAAAACTCTCGATAAAATCTTTCATCTATCCTATTCAGATAGGACAGATATATCTGTTGGATATATTTCTGGAGGGACAGTTTAGGCGATACGGACCCATGGTGAGCGCGTTCCTCGCCGAGGAAAGTCCTCACGAAAGGATCGACCCTATGGCGCGACTGTTTCCGAAGGTAACGAAGTGTACAATTCACACATTCGGACCCGCGGGTTCCGTGCAAACTCACGATGCTTTGTGCGTACTTCCGTTAAACGTGGTAAACGAGAAGATCTTCGTTGTTCTCTGGTTCTGGCTGGTGTTTCTTGCGGGCGTCGGTTGCCTCGCGGTAATCTATAGGTACGTAACTTCTTTCAACGACTGCGCATTATGGCAATTCCGATTACAATGTCAGAAACATACTCCAACAATCTATAAAATCTTATTTTACGCAGGAATATTATAATATTTTGTATTCATCAATTTTCCATCACTTTGTGCTATATTTACGAATCTTGCATTATTTATATTTTAACCCTAGAATGCAGTTGCTATTGAGTGATAAAGTATGTTATCAATACGACATAAATTTTGCGTACAAGAAAATAGGTCACTCTTGATTAATGTAACAAGTTTCATACATTTCACACTTTTAATGACAAAATATTTATAAGTACGAATAACCCAATAATTATTAATTTATTAATTTAAAAGGAGAGAAAGAATAAAAACATTATCAAATTGGAAATTAATCTGTAAATGGAGTGTCCAATGTCTCCTCATAATCACTTACTAATAATAAATATATAATAATATAAAACTGTTTAAAAAATTGAAATCACTTATTTCTGTTATAATATTAATCACCAGGGAGTTTAAACTGAGATATAACACGGACACAATTTTTTAAATCTCCGCTTGTCCTAACTTTTAGCACTTTTAGGATATCATATTAATTTCCTAATGACGACTGAAGGTATAGTTTAGTTTTTAATAATATCTTTCTTATTTTTACTTAAAGTTATGTATCGATAGCATTCTAGGATTAAAAAAGAACATTACGTAGAGCTTAAAAATGATATCATCGGATCGATATGCAATTGATACAATCCTCCTCGCAGGATCATAGTGTTTTCTCAAGCTTGGGCAAGAGTGTATCTTCTACGAGGTGCAGTTCGCAGGCTCGAGAAATCTAAAGCTGAGCGTGTTGTACGAGTATTCCATTTCGGCGATTGGTTCCTATTGCACCAACTCGCACAGAACGTCAATCCTATCGTATACATGGAGCTGGTTAACGAGATAGCGAAAGCCTTCACGACTAAGAGTTTCGCGGACTTCATCTAGATCCTCTCGACCTCGCCTAAGTAGCATTACGCGGAATTCAATTTACGAAGCTCAAAATGTTCTGATAAGATGTTCTGATAAACGTTCGATGAGTATTCTGATACAATATTTTACAATAAAAATAAAGGGATAAATGTTTAAAAAAAAAAGATGTACTGTGCGATTTCAATAAAGATGATTAAAATCTTATAAAAAGATTTTTTTTAAATGTCTCAAGTTATTGAATTATATACCTAAATAAATGTATTCGAATTGAAATTATCGTATTTTATTCTAAGAGGTGTTCAAGTTATTAAGATTTAACATCCACTAAGATGTACGAATTTCTTTCCGACAATTCAATACCGACGAACAATACGAGCAGATACGTCGCGGTGTGAGTCTTTTGTTCATCAACGTTACATTCAATTGTCCCGAAACAGAAGCGGAATTGAGATACTCTCTTCTCGCTCGGCATGTATCCATGGGAACGCGAGTTTGACTCAACCAAATTACTCGAGTTACGGGGTTCTTAGGGTTAGGGACTTCATCGGAATTATTACGAGTCTCGTCGCGTATCGGAGATCTTTTGCGCTCTCGACCTTATCTCACGGTGTGTTCTCGCACTTCCCCGTTTTCCGGAATACGTGCGCGTTACGCATTTCCAAGGTAACGGAAACAGACGACGACGAAGAGTTTTGATTTCATCGTCTCGCTACACTCACGGGTTCGCGTATCGTGGTGAAGAAGAGAATTTGCAAAGTCGAAGTTAAACGAACATGCGGGAGATAGTACATCTTCAGGCAGGCCAATGTGGCAATCAGATTGGAGCAAAGGTATATTTCAAGTCCTTGAATAATTCTCAGATATAAGTCCCATCCAGTCCAATGCGAATACACGAGAGCTTAAAGTAGAGTAAATAAATATACTTATCCAAGAAAATTGAAACGAAAAATATTTATGTATAACCTTGAAATATGTTACGCACACGCAAAAAAAAATATCGATTGTATATCGAATTATCGAGAAAATCTTGAGAAATTTTTATTCGAATGAAATATTTCTTTCTCATTACAACGATCACAGTTTTGGGAGGTGATCTCGGACGAGCATGGGATCGATCCCACTGGCACGTATCACGGTGACTCAGATCTGCAGTTGGAGCGAATAAATGTTTACTACAACGAGGCGACAGGCGGTAAATACGTGCCACGTGCGATTTTGGTCGATTTGGAACCTGGGACAATGGATGCGGTTCGTTCGGGGCCGTTCGGTCAAATATTCCGACCAGACAACTTTGTGTTCGGGCAAAGCGGAGCAGGTAACAACTGGGCCAAGGGACATTACACCGAGGGCGCCGAACTCGTCGACTCCGTCTTGGACGTCGTTCGCAAGGAGGCCGAGAGCTGCGACTGCCTCCAGGGATTCCAGCTCACACACTCGCTGGGTGGTGGCACTGGTGCCGGCATGGGTACTTTGCTCATCTCCAAAATACGCGAAGAATATCCTGATAGAATCATGATGACTTTCAGCGTGGTACCTTCGCCAAAGGTATATTATTCCATGAATGAATTTAATTTTCATTTTAATTTCACAGTCATTCTTTAATCGCTCTTTTCTGTTGAAATCAGAAATTCAGATCTCTTTTCGGTTCTATGATTTCACGATTTTACGTTTCACGTCTAGTATGATTTTAAAAGAAATAATTTTGACATACTCTCTATATTCACGGACGAAATCTTCATTGACTTTCGGAAACAATACGAGATCGGATTTCACGTCAAGAGAGTTACGTTTCGAATTTCCATGTGTATCGGGAATCATCCGCGGAGCGTGTCTCGCTGCGGCGCAAACATGAAAGTCTTTCTGATGCGCGCAGGATAAGGTACAATGGATGCGAGACAAAGCACCCGCCAGGAACCGACCTTTTGTCCTTAATAGGACAATACTGAGCGCGTTGCCAGCATACAATACTTGTACTCTCTCGTTTGTGTATTCATGTTTGCGCGATACGCGACCGATACCATACGTTCCACGTCAGCGTTTATTCTCGCCTCCTTCCGAAGGTATCGGACACCGTAGTCGAGCCCTACAACTGCACTCTCTCGGTACATCAGCTGGTGGAGAATACAGATGAGTCCTATTGCATAGACAATGAGGCGCTTTATGATATCTGCTTCCGGACTCTCAAGCTGACCACGCCAACCTATGGTGATCTCAATCATCTCGTCAGCGCGACCCTGAGCGGCGTTACCACTTGCCTGAGATTTCCCGGCCAGCTTAACGCAGACCTAAGGAAACTCGCCGTCAACATGGTCCCCTTCCCGCGTCTGCATTTCTTCATCCCCGGCTTTGCCCCTCTAACTTCTAGGTCTCATATTCCCAAAGAAAACTAATTAAATTAAGGGAAACTAATTATTAAATGGAGCATCAGTACTATAAGAGTCGATGTCATATCGCTATTTTATTTAAATGAAATTTTCTAAATTGCAATGCAATAAGATCAATGTAATTAATTAATTAATTAATTATTTAGAGGAAAATTTATTCGCGTACGTAATTTTCTGGCTTTTTTGCTTTCGACGAAATTCTAAAATAATGTAGGAAATTAGACAAATGAGAGTTCGGTGCAGTACTTAATGGACAAAAATATAATTTATATATACATAAAATCAATGATTGTGCATCTCATTTGCCTAATTTTTTACATTATTTCAATTTCGAGAGTCCGTAATAATTCTTATTAAGTCTAAAATGATATTTTAGAGGTTCGCAACAGTATCGAGCACTCACGGTACCCGAACTCACTCAACAAATGTTTGACGCGAAAAACATGATGGCCGCGTGCGACCCGCGACACGGTAGATATTTGACAGTGGCCGCAGTATTTCGTGGCAGAATGTCGATGAAGGAGGTAGATGAGCAGATGCTCAATATCCAGAACAAGAACAGCAGCTATTTCGTCGAGTGGATACCGAGCAACGTGAAAACTGCCGTTTGTGATATACCCCCACGGGGTCTGAAAATGTCCGCGACTTTCATTGGCAATTCTACGGCTATTCAGGTTCGTTTGCCGTTTGGTTGTTGTCAAACAAAGAGAGAATTCGACTGTGAATCAATTAAATTTTCAATCGATTTCTCAGAGTTGCAAATTTTCCAAAAACAAATTATCCGTCATTCGGTTCGTTAAATGTATTACTTAAAAAGCAGAAAGGACTAATTATATCGAAAATGTAATTATTTCTGCATCACAGGAGCTATTCAAGAGGGTATCGGAACAATTCACCGCGATGTTTCGACGCAAGGCATTTCTGCATTGGTATACTGGCGAGGGTATGGACGACATGGAGTTTACCGAGGCTGAGAGTAACATGAATGATCTCGTGTCCGAGTATCAACAATACCAGGAGGCAACTGCCGACGAGGAGGGAGAGTTTGATGAGGAGGAAGAGGGCGAGGGTGAGGAGAAGTGAAGATCGTCCCCATCTCCGGAAGATGTTTATCGAGTGCTCGCTACACCTGCTGCTTCCTTTCCGCTCTCGTCGCTTCTTTACGTAGTTATCGTCTCACCCTCGTATCTTCTTAGAGTGTAAAATAATATGTAGCCGAGCCAACGTCGGCCGACAGTTTGTTGTTCCTTGTCTTCCGCGTGTCTCCCATCGTCGAAAGTATATTACGTGCACAAAATAAAGAAAGGAAAAAAAAAAAGAAAAAGAAAGAAAAAGAAAAATAAGAAAAAAGATGAGAAAAGAAAGAAAAAGAAGCTCCTGCTCCATTTTCCCGCGTAAGAAGCACTCATTTCTCTCGCATCCTCTTAACCACGTCTAGAACAGAATGACGAAAACGGAACACTCTCTCACTCTGGGGTTTGCGCGTGGTTTCCGGGTAACCTCCGGTCGCTACGGAGATAATGCGAAATGTACGTATCGGGGAAACGTTTCCTGTTTCCTCTCCTTCAAGTAAAACACTACGCGCAAGCACCACTGACGGCGCTTGCTTACCTTCGGTTGCATATTCCAAGTCAAAGAGAGAAGGAGAGAGGAAGAAGAACACTTTATACTTTAATTAAAAATTGAAACCGATCTCTTCTTCACTACGCATTTTGTACATTTCAAGCGGCGTACTATTCACAATATTCCTTGTTACCCAGCAGCAACGCATTCATTATATGCTTCTCGCAATTAAATTTATTATGTTTTATTCTCGCTGTATTTCAATTTTAATACGCGCTTTTAATTTCACGATTACTTCTATTAATTTTATTAAATGCTATTTTCATTCGCGGAATAACGGCAACGGTCTCCGTTTAGCCGACTAAAAATCACTCGTCGATTTATTTCGGGATACTCCATTCTACGCCTGGGAACGATTCTTTTACAATTCCCGACGCCGCGATAACGCGCCGTAATAAATCGCAGCGGGGCGCGTATCGGAGGCTCGTACATCACGTCCGGCATCACTGCCGATTGCCGGTGCCGACATTGCCGACGTCGTACAATCAGCCACATTCTCTCGCATTCGATCAGTCCTTGCGATCGAGAACATTATTGGCAAACAATAATTGCACAATTGCCGAGGCGAGAACTTGTTAAGCGACGTGATGTCACGCATCACCTGAATGTCCAGCGAAAAATGAGGCGATCACTCACAGCGGGAGAAATATCGGCCAATATTACATCGGAGATTCGAAATCCCCGAGATGGAAGCGAGATTCCGGAAGGATTTTCTCACCCAAACATTTTTTTAAAAATACGTAAGAAAATGTAGATTGCATACATACGTCTACTATTGCGTCAAGCTTACTGCAGTAATTTTATGATATATTGCTTTTTTTTTAAGAAACTTTTTAGAAATAATTTGAAGGTTTGTCAGAATGTAAGCTTTTGCGGAGTTGCATGTCCGCATTAACCTGACGTGAGGGCGTTTACGTAACCGCCACAGAAATGTGTGCGAGAATGGGCGGGGAAGTCGGACACTCCTTGGCCGAGCACACGTTTGGTCCACACACGGAATGCTAATGCTAATAATGCAGACGCATAAACTTGGGATTTAGATCACGGTGTTCTAGTTTCCGTCACCGGGTGTGTTGTTTCCCGCCGTGCGGTTTCTCGCGATCTTGCATCTTCTTCTCGGTTCTCGTTAACGACCTCGGTTGCGAACGACTTTATATAATGGCGTTATGAGAAAAAGAAAGAAAACAAGATAAGCGTGATACTTACGCGGTCTCCTGTCATCTCATACGAAAGCGGACGTGTTTACAAACGTTTATTGCTGCTTGTCATCGACGTCGATATAGAATAAGCAAGAGGACTTATTTAACGGCGGCGGAGCTGACGTTGTCCGATAAGCAAAATAGAACAATAACTAAAAAGTACCATGTATCATATAAAACGCGCAGGATTCACGGATTAACGGATTTAAACTCTTTCGGTTTAAATACAAGGTGTCCAACTTCTCGCGACTTATTTTTTGCAACGATGAATTTCTTCAATTTGGATTCGAATTTTTTTCAGTTTGATTATCATAGGAAGTCATCGGGGATTTATATCGTAGTTTTCTTTAGCCTCGCGTAAATAAGCTTTAATTAGGATTTTATAAAATTAATTCCGTCTAAAATTATAAAAGGACGCATTAATAATAAATCCATTTGATGGATGCCCATTTCTACCGTAGTAGATTAACTTTAATCTTAGTTCGACTTATTTTTTTTTTTTTAATTCTTAGAATTAGAAAAGGAAAAGCTAGTTTTAAATCGAAATAAAAATTTAACTACATTGGTAGAAACGGAGGTTTAATTCGCAAAAAGATTTTTTTTCAAATCATTTATATCTCGAAAGTTATCGGTATTTCTCGCCAAGGAAAAATCAATTCCCAACTGATCGAGGAATTCGTTAATTTAAAAAGAAATTAACATTCGATAAGCGAGACACTCTGTACATACCTTTGTACATATTGTGCATCGTCATTCAATTGTGCATTGCTCTCTCGTCGGTAGTTGGCCGTCTTTTAAAAATCGATCGCCTGCGGGCCCGGAGGCAAGAGACAGTGGACCGTTTGTCTTGCAGCGACATTTTGCGTTTCACGTAAAGAGAATTCGCGTATATACAATATACACAGCACGTCGTAACGTAGATATACACTTGCGATATACGTACATCACGCCGATATTTATCTTCGTTAGCCCCAATTCGCGATCGGTCTAGGCGTGCCTCGTGGCTGCACGTAAGGGTAGATACCGTAGATAGTAGATACCGAGGCGCGCAGGCGAGTTAATCGCATCGTAAACCATTAGGGTTGGTTACAAATGGCCGCGCAATGCGAAAAAAAAAGACCAGCGAAAACGGAAGGGGATATATAGAATTGCCCGTTTAATTCCGATGTATAAATGCTAGCTCGTTAAAATAAACGGAAAATTATTCGTGTATGTGAATAAAAAAAAATTAGTAGTAATTCTATCTCTGTAAAATTTATTTAAATACAGATTTTTGAAAAAAATTAATGTTCATGTATGATATTAATATTGAAAAATTTGTATTAGATAGATAGATAGAGAGAGAGAGAGAGAGAGAGAGAGAGAGAGGGAGAGAGAGAGAGAGAGACTTGTTTCAAATTGATTGAAAGAATTTATAAATGAAGTATTACACTCTTGAACGACAATCTATATATTAATATTGGATTTCTGATCAAGTAATGTAAGAACAAAGTTGTTTTTCAAATCTACAAGTCGATCTACACGTCAAAGACACATGAAAAAGGAAATAAACGATTTAATAAAAATGTCTTAAGGGCAAGAAATATTTGCATACATCCATATGTATGATGCAACATGTAGTTTATTAAGAAGGTGACAGTGAATAGTAAACGTTTATTATGCGGAAATTTTTCATGCTCGCGTTACCACTATGTGTTTACCGGCGGTGTATACGAGGTGACGTGTAAGCACGAGTCGCAATAAGGATGAAGATAATCCGCCGCGACCAGCAAGGCTGCAGGTATACGACATTGAGGTGAGCAAGGAAAGAGTACGCAAAAATGTTTGTTCCGCGGTTAATGAAGTACGCTGCCTCTCTTTTCTCCGTTCTTTTTTTTTTGCGCTCACGATCCGCATTATTATCTCTGTGAGCGAGTGAATTCCATGAATAATCGAGTTGTACAATGTATTGTTATGCTAGTTATGTACAGACAACGCATTTCCACGAGCTCGTTGCATACGCGAGATGATTCATTTTTCGCTTTGATGGCAACCGGAAGTGACACTCACATTGACACACCCACTCATCCTCGAATGCTAGAAGTATCGATCGTAGAAACATCGAGATCGATGCATATAGTGATATATTTGTCAAAAAGAGAATCTAGTGAAATACATATAGAAATGAAAATATAAAACGATAGTATGCAAAAAAAAGATATCGTAACGTTGCAATAAGAAAAATCTAAATAAAATTTTCTTTTAATATATATAAAAGAGATATATAAAGACATAGAATAGCTAAATTTATAACAATGCCGGCGAGAAAAATAGATAATAAATTTATAGATAAATTTGAGGATAATATAAGAAGCTAGTATATAAATGCTAATATAAAAAAAAAATAACAAGTAACAAGAGAAAATTATGATAAAACATGAGAGAGAATTCTCTGTGTATCGTCAGTATATCAGTATATCACCTCCGCACCACCGCGTGCCACATTCGATCGGTCGAGGTCCCCGTGTTGCTCTGTTCACGCTTCGCGGAGCACAGACAAGATCATAGACGCGCGAATAATTACAGAAAGCGATTGAGAATGGCCGGGGTCGACGGGGTGAAGAGACGAAGGAGAGACGAGGGAAGTGGGAACCTCTCTCCTTTCCTCCCTCGGTTCGTGCGCTCGTGCGCTTGTTGGCGCGCGTGTGCGCTCAAGGTGGCACGAACGCGCTTTTTCTCACGATGCAAATCGAACAACCGATACTTCTTTTATTTTTTCCTTCTTTTCTCGCTTGGGCCGATAATGACTTCGTCCTTCGTGCGAATGGTCGCGGCGAGTCATCCACGGCACCGCAAAGGATCTAGGATCTAGGTGAGCGCGTAACGAGTCCCCGGGTCCGACCCACCCCACTATATCGACGCCGAGGATCGGACCTCCACCACTGTTTACCTCACCTGCGAATTTACGTCGTTCGCGATTGGCAGGAAAAACTTTTTTTCCGCATCTCTCCCCCTTGGATCTTTGACACGCGAGCGCGAGCAAAAACAATCCGCTGGGGGATATATAAGTGATCTGACGGGGTACTCAAGATATAGTCAGTCCACAGTACCGACAAGAGATCGCAAGCACTTGGAGCAACATGTTTAAGCTGGTGAGTGAAGTACTCGTGGCACTCGAGGCGGACGAAACTTTTCTCGTGAAGAGTGTATAGGTAGATAGCCATCCGCGGTTTTCCCGGGCAACGCAGGGTTTACCAGCTGTCTCTTATATGTACATAACTTTGTATAATTGTCAGAATTTTTAAAAATAGATTCTTTAAGTGTAAGAGAAATGTTGAGGAATATATATTACGCGCAAGATATACAAACGTTTGTATTTCGAAAATTGTCATTTCGACATTTATTCCCTGTGAAAATTGTTATCCTCTTACAACTTTGCTTTTATCTAGAGAACAGACTTATCTAAAGCTATACAGAGAGAGAGAGAGAGAGAGAGAAAGACAAAGAGAAAGAGACAATCGACTCGCAATATCGTGAGAAATGCTTGGATGTAACATTTGCTGCGAACTTTACTTGCTGCCGCGGGCACGATTTTATCGCACTGGAATACGCTTGTTTCATTCATATGATATGCGTTTGAAATCATCTTGAATATGCGTAAATAAGGCCGAAGGCTAAGCGCGACGATGCAAACTGGCCATTTCAAACCTTCGTACCGTCATTTAGGATAATCTCGCATAGAAATGTCTATCGTCATAAGCAATTGATGGCAAAACGCTCTCGATCGAAAAATACGCTGTTTTGATTTCTCTCATATTTATACATTGCATTTGTCTTCTATGTTTATATATTTATATGGTTTTACTGAAATATCTAAAAATTTAATTAATTATAAATAAAGATGATTTTGTTTGAATTATCAAAATATAATACTTATATAGGAGTATAGTTTCAAACTGACTATTAGAATGTTAAAACTTTTTGCAGCATTAATTATATTTTGTTGATTCAACAAAATTGTTTTCAGATCTGTATCCATTTTTAAATACTTCAGCAAACCTATTCTTTTTGTACATATTTCCTAAGTTTTTGTAATTTTTGAAGATCGAGACTTGAGAGAAAATTATCAAATCATGTGTATTTGACATGCAATTTTTATTTCTAAAGATAGATCAAACAACTTCCATATTCTATATTAATTCTACGATTTGACTGTGAAAGCTTACCCTAATACATAACATATACATAACATAATTCTCCATGGGATGTCCTAAGGATGTCCCTAAAATGTTTCTCGGAGAACTGTATTCTGTGGGACATATTTTAATAAATATATTTTATATTATTTTAATAAATTTCTGTTCCTACAAATAGATAACGTTCGAATTTAGTTGCGATCTTGATTCCGCGAATGATTCCTGCATTGCACGATATTAAGTTTTATATCTTGGGTTTCAAATTCCATTGCAATTTGTATATAAAAACAGCTTTAAACGTAAGGAACATTCTTGACGCATATCTACATTTTACTGCAGATCGTTCTTCTCGCCACTGTCGCCTACGCATCGGCCGAAGGCCTATATTCCGGATATGGAGGACTGTACGGCTACGGCGGTTACGGCTATGGTGGCTATGGTTTAGGTCATGGAGTGGCGTCGATCTCACCATACGTGCATGCTCCAGTTGCGACTAGCTACGCCAATACATACAAGGTAAAGTAAGCTCTCAAATGGTTCGGCATGTAACTAAACCCTATGACACGTGAAGGGAAGGATTATCACCGTACCGGTGCAGCTTCGTATGGCCGGGGTAACCGGAGGAAAATTCCGGTTTCACTCGTTGTAATCCATAAACGAGCTCTCGTGCAAAATGAATTCAGTAGAAATAAGGTTTCGCATTATTATTTCGGTAAAATAACGCTCTCGGACGAGGAAAAAAAATGGAATAATAATTACCGAGCACATTTTAAGGGAGAATTAAAATTTTTAATGAAATTTTAATTTATATATGGCTATGTGAAACAAAATAACAAACGAGATAATTCTCTTTTTCGTTCGGTCTTTAGGTCGCGGTAGCTCCACCTATCACTAAGTACATTGCACCTGCCGTCACAAAAGTGGCGTACGCCACACCTATCACGAAGGTAGCCTACGCTCCAACTTATTCTGCGCCATCAATAAGTTATGGCCACTATGGATACACGATTCCACCGGTCACTTACGTTCACAGCGGTCTTGGATATGGTGGATATGGTCATGGTCTTGGATACGGTGGATATGGTCTCGGTAATTATGGCTACGGACTCGGCTATGGTCATGGTTATGGATATGGTGGATACTACCATTGAATGGGATCAAACCAAAGTCTCGAGGAATAATGCTTTCTTCGACAAGTTTGTAAATGGCTGGAGACGCAGCCTACCGTACTGCCAAAAAAAACATTGTCATCTGCTTTGTACTTGATGTTCATAATATATATTTTCATACTTTACGTCGCCTCTATTTCTTATAGCGTATTCAACAGCGATCTGAATCGCTGTTAGTACTTACTTAAAGATGGAACAAAGATATCCAGAGATCTTCCTATGTCCATTTCTAACGATATAGATTAACTTAACTTTAACTTACTTCTTGTCTTTTTTTAATTTTAAGAATTAATCCAAGATTAAAGTTAACCTACATTGATAGAAATGGATCTTAGATATCTCTTAGATATCTCTTAGACTGTGGCACACCAAAAAAACTTGAGCAGTAATACATAAGCAGTAAGCGAATCAACATTTAGATTTGCTGTTATTTACGTCTCACTGCTTTTCTATGTGCTGTTATAGCTTTAGTTGCGTAAAGAATTGTTAAAAAGGAATATTTTAGAATATCTTTCAAACATTTCTACGTCATCTGACTAATTATTCAAATCAGCTTTGGTATTATGCGTACATGCTAAAATTCTTTGACGTTACGTTATCTTATCGTTATTAATTTTCGATTTCGCGGTTGCTGCGAACAGCTCGTTGCCACCGGCCTCTCGAGACATACCATCGCTGATCGGTATCAGTCCGTATCGCGTATCTTACACCCGCAAAGATCCGCCACGTCTGAGCGGGGACGCGGTTATTAAAGGCTTTTATACATTCAATCTTAGACCATCCATCCATTCATCCATTCGTGCATCCAGCAGAGCGTAAGAGCATTGCGCAAGGTGAGAAAGAGGTGTTGAACAGCATGTGTATGAGCGCAATGAAGAAGCGAGGTTTAAGAGTAGATCAAGGCTAAGGCGAGGCACCCGCAAACTTTGTTTATCAGACCGATCAGACCGTTTTGGTCCTTTTACTTTAACGTAACTTCAATTTCTTGATTTTATATAATAACGCGCGCTTTATGTAATACATGTACTCGCTTCGTTAAAGTCGCGTCTTATCTCCTCAATATTTGATCATACATTTTGATAAGCGCTTTATTACTCAATACAGTAGATTGCTAAAGGTTTCTTAAGTGGGCCTCTAAATTTATACAGGTTGGTAAAATTATTAAATTAATATAGCAAATAATATCAAAATCGAATCTATCAAGAATTCGAAATCGGTAATCTTATAAATTGAATTAGACGCTTGGTTAAGATAATCTTCAGTTTATTTCAATTCTTGTTGACAAAAAAATGTTATTAATTTCAATGTGTCAAAAATAACATTCTCAGTCTTAATGAAAGCAAACTGATGATTAATTAAATTGATGCATAATGTAGATACATACGCAACCTGTTTGTAAAGCTATTCTATTTCTTTAAAGTCAACAGTTCTGTCCAAGGTAGATTGATAAAGAAGATATTTGGTAAATTATGTGCGTTCTCGTTTCACATGAATTTAATTTGCATGTCACGAATACCGAGCGTCCCAGAATCACTGAATGTTCTGTCAATCATTTTTTATGTTAAATTTACACACGTGTTTGCCTTTTTAATATTACACATTTTTTTTACAACTTGAGCCTTGAATCTTGATTTAAAATTCCATCGCAGTGAAATCCACTTAAAATTAATCGAAAAACGTGATTTTGTTGTTATCCCCTCGATGTTCAATTTGCGAGAAACGTTTCGTTTCTTTACACGCTGATTATTCGAAAACTGTTAACACTTTAATATTCTCCAGAGTGGAAAATGGACTTAATGGAAGTTAGTCGAAGAATGTACGGTAAAAAGGGCACTGTGATTGTGAGTTGCGTGCGCAACTTGTACATTAATCGACGTGCGCTGCCTGCGCTTTTCGTTTATTCTTCATCATGCTCAAGAGTACGATGGCGAAATTGGCAAAATATTACGACGTTACGAATTCGGACTGTAGACAGTCGGTCATTCATTTATTTACTTTCTTACTTATCGTTGCACGCAATCGTGCTCCAGATTTATTGGAGCAGGGTCGTCGCCTCATGGACTCCACCCATGCCCATGCATGACTCGTTTTCGTCGGCGAGAGAACTCAAGAAATGCACGCATATCATGCGAACAACGTCATCTTCAAGGTGAAACCTTCCGGAAAACGAAAATGGATTTCCACCTGTAACGATCGTGGAAAAATGTGCGCGCGATTGTGACCGTGTTCCATTTTCCGGAGCCGATCGGAAGTCGCGGTACTTCCTTATTTTATCGCGATACTGAGTCTTAATTAAACGACTGCAATTGCTGCAAATACATGGAATCAAATAAAACATTATTGCGAATAATATGAAATTGTTAAATTTAAAGATTGTCAAATTATATCCAATTTTAGTTGCTCCAATTATTTTTCTAGATCGCCATTGCTCCTATTCAATATCATTAATTTAATTAAAAATCAATGGAGTTAAACAATTTACCTCAAGAAAATGTATTAAATTTAACTCAAATGAAATTTATTGATTACCAAATATATACGTTAACATGCACGTTATTTACTTTAAAACTAACAAAAATGAATTGATTTACATTTTATATCCATAAAAGTTAAAAATAATAAAATTTATTTAAAATAATAAAAATAATAAAAATTATTTAACTCAAAGAATTGATTAACCATTGCTCTTTTGACATCTAACAGTGGAGGATAATTAAAGAAGGGCGAGATAAAATCCGAGATGCTTCTCGGTTATGTTTTTCCAATGAAAAAGATGTAGTATATATATATCACAATAAATGAATGAATAACTTTTAAATATCACATAGTTTTTTTTCTGTCCAGTATTTCAAATGCATTTTAAAACATACGCTAACGCTAAATTTGCTTGTTGAGAGATCGTAGTTGTCTATTGCAACGTCAAGCGCAATCTTTCCATCAACACTGCATCAGTACGTTATAATTAATGCCTCGCGCGTCTCCTATTGTAAAACGAGTATAAACGCAACATTGTAACATCGCATAGCCATATCAATCCTATCGCGTGAGTATGAATATAGACACGCTGTCAATTACTATGTCGGTCATAGTTTGTATACAGCTTGTAATAAGAGCGCACGCTGTCGACGTTGCGTAATAATAAAGTGCCGTGGCCGGGTTTATTTTGGGATCGTAAAGCAGGCGACTTTGAGCGACGTCCCTATGAATGATGGGCGTTGTTACGTATAGCAAAGTTATGCGATTCGCCTCGGGAAGGTCGCGACTTTCTACGGCGGTACGATGGTTGTGGCCTCGTCGACCTCGCGAATTCGATATGCGTAATTTACGAGCGTGAACTATCTTTTCACTAGGAAACGCATAAATATTCACATTTAAATTTATTTTCGAACAAATATCTAGCTGAGTGTATTTGGAAACGCGATACGACGGATAAAAATATTTGCATATTCTTTTCTTCTCTTCTGGAATAATATTACATTTTTGCAAAGTGTTTCTATTAAATTGTATTGTATTTATACTGATATATACTGATAAACAAAGCACTCTTTGTAGTTTGTCTCTTCTATGAGAATATATACTGAGAATATATACTGAGAAAAATTGGATGTGCGAATATTTTTTGTCCATTCTATATTGTAGTCGACTAATGGTAATAGACACATCGAAAAAAGATATATAACAAACATCGCTTTACATCGATGTACCAAAAATATTCTGAAAAACTTTAGATTTATTCGCCGTTGGATTGACGGCGGTCTGCCGAATGACGATATTAATTTACGTAAAACGGCCGAGAGGCCTCCTGATTTATTTACGAACGCATTTAGCTTTGCGCATTCGACGCCGTCATTAAAATATTCTCTTTGAAGCCTAAGTACTCGAAGAGGATTACTTTCTGCTCGACGAAATATATATCTCATTTCGAGTGTGTCAACGTTCGCTGTTATCGCGGCAGGATCGGCAGTATGTACCACGTACAGACATCACACAATAAAAACAAGCGACAATTAAATGAAATATCAATTTATTTTTATCCCTGCATGTGCGTTAAGTATAAAAAAAAATTATATACGTATTATTTTCCTCTCTGTCGAGAAAAAAAGATATCCAGACAATTGTTGTTGGGATTGTCGCTCGGACAATAGAAGATTGGGCCTTGTCGTGCTCCCAAGGAAAGTACGTCCTGCAGGTCCATCTCATGATATAAAAAGACAAGGTGTATCAGTCCCGAGGATGTGCAATAGGAATATGAATTTGGACCCAAATTTGATTGGTAGTTTCCAGTATTGCTATCGCCATTACGCGCAGTGATACATCTGTACATTCTTACATCATGATCCACCTTAGAATTAGTGGATGTAGCTGACAGCAGGTGCGGCGTAGGCGAGATGCGCATTGTGCGAGGTATATGCGAGCGGAGCGGAGTAGGCCAGCGGTGCTGCGTGCGCGGCGTAGGTGATTGGAGCTGCATGAGCGGCGTAGGCGAGAGGAGCAGCCGCGTGGACGATGGGTGCAGGATGCGCCGAATACGCGACAGCGGGTGCGGACGCCAGATAGCCAGGAGCGGGCGCTGCGGCGACGCAGACGACGAGCAGGGCGAGAAGACCGGTGCACTTGTACATGATGACGAAGTGGAGGAAGTCGCTGGGACGAGCTTGAGACTTTCTTGCGAAGATTGTCCGAGTTGTACCTACTCGACTACTGATACCGAAATCTGTTCCGCGACACTTTTTTATAGGACCAAACCCCTCTTATGCGAAACAGAACTGGTTTTCTATAGCTCCCATCCTTGTGATCTAGAAGTGCCTGCCAAGGTCTTCCGGATTCGGTAAGATTTCGCAGTACAAGAGATTTGGATCGTTTTGGGAGGATAAGACGGGCGAGGGGATCGAATGCGAACGTGCCATTCGACGATGTTTGAATGATGGATAAATTGAATAATCACATCATATATTATTATAGTATAATGATATTACAGTCGGTACAACATACACCAATTCCCCTCTTTTCTGAGGGAAAATAACCTACCAAATGTAAAATTGATAATTGTAACAATTGGTCTACCACATGTAAATAATTACATAACGTCAGAAACGAATATGCGCTATGCCACAATTATCAATTCATCAATTTAATAATATATTAAATACTTGTGTATATACAAGTATTTAATATAAACGAATGCATTATAAATTTTAGTCACGGAAAAGTGATCCGTGAAATTTTAACATGTTACGATATTTGTTGTAATTTCATCAATTAACGAAAGTATGAAATGAGGATGACGGTTGCATCTTGCGTAAAATAACGCATATTTTATTCCACACGCATACTCCATTGCGTAGAAAAGCAGGTACGGTCGGTAGTCGACGTTACGTCTAACCGGTTGTCACCGAAATCATTGCGATTTTCGTCAGTGCGAGCTGTCACGCATTGTCATTGTTGATGCATGATTGCGTAAGGAACGGAGCAAACGCACAGGACAGAGATAAGGATACGCAACAAATACATGCATACGTTTGCTCATATGACACGTTGTATGCGAAATGCGTCGTGCGAAATTGTGTAAGTCGAGCATCTACTTTCGCGACTCGTGTCACAATGCCTCTCGCCACCGATTCTGGTTTCCCACCACCCATCAGTTTTGGACAGCGTAACATACATGGGCGTGACTATCGTTCGATCTCCACAATATTCGATAATTAATTCGATCATTTATTATTAAGTCAGGTATAAATATAGAAGAAGTTGAAAGAAAAAAGATGTAAAAGATAAAAATAATAAAATTTTCGAGGAAATTTTTTTCAGGAAATTATAAAAGAATGATTTTGAAAGCGAATATTTTTTTTGTAAGAGAAAGATTAATCTATAAACTTAATAGAAATACGTATTTGAGTAACAAATAAATTAAAAAGTTACTAGAGAAAAACTTTCTTCTCAATTATTTAATCCTCTCAATTATTTTCTCAATTATTTAATCGAGAAAAAAGTTCTCAATTATTTAATCTTTCGCAGATTGTTCTTGAATAATTGCAGACACAGAAGTTGGAAGTGTTTAAAAAAACTTTTTAGATGAACGAGTTTTAAACAAAACTTTGAGGAAAAAAAGTTACGCGTATAAGTTGTTGTTGCATATAAGTTTGTTAGAACAACGTATGCGTGTTTCGTGGAACAAAACCGTCCGACCGCCGAGAGAGAAACCTGCGAGCAAGGCGACCCGGCTCGTAAATCATTGCAATTCATAAGCATTAAAATGGGGTAAAGTACAAAGAGGAAGAGAAGCATTGCTTTCTAAATGACCAAAGTCAGAGCAAACAACCTGGAAGCATCCTTTACATGAACGGGTTAACAATTTTAACTGAGACCACGCCAGTCTAACGGCTGTCAAGGCTACTTTAATTATTTAAATATTATTAACGAGATGCATCTCAGATGTAATGACTTGCAATAACAAGAAAGCGAAATTTAATAATAAAATTATCTGTATGTTCTACAGTCGACATTATCAATTAAGCGGCTATTATTGTCACGTCTCTGTACGTCAAGAATTAATCGAGGAAGTGACAAGCTGTTCCAAACGCCATTATTGCCCGAAGCAATTCGAACAACTCGTATTTTGAGCCTGTTGGCCGGTCCGAAAGTTAATATGTACGCAATAAATCGCTTGATAATTACGTATGATTGTTCCGGATTCTGTTATACTGTCGAGAGTTTGATGATCGATAGTCGAGGCTATGTCATTGAACCTCTCCAAGCATCATGTATTCGCAAACAAAGAGAATCCGGAGATAAGGCCACCAACAATCATGGTCGCCCTTTCGAGTATTTTCCGCGTCCTTCTCGAAGAAACAAAACGATGATAGACAACTGCGCCACCATCGAGGCTACGTCACGTGAGGGTACCAGTGAAATCTGCGAGATACGAGGCGGTGAAGGGTTTGCGTTGAGGCCACGAACGATCAGAGGCAGTCCTTGGCAGTGCTCCTCCAACAAGTGGCCAGCGCAACAAAAAAAAAGAAAAGAAAAGAAAAGAAAAGGAAAAAAAAAACGAGCAATGGCGGTACCAGAGCGACGTGAGGAAGGCGGCAACAGGAACCTGTGGCCGGGACCGGGTGGTCCGTGAGAGGTGGGAGAGGTCAGTCCCGACGAATATAAGGGGTCCTAGATGCCGTATTCAAGCATCATTCGCTCTTCAGTGCTCTGCCGAAGTACGAAGCAACAATCTCAATCACCATGTACAAGATCGTCGCTCTCTTTGCCCTGGTGGCCTGCGTCACGGCTGCACCCGGCTACTTGTCGCCCGCCCTCCACGCAGCGCCGGTAGTCGCGGCTCCGGTAGCGGTTGCCCATACCCTCCCGGTCGCCACCAGCTACGCCAACACCTACAAGGTGTCTGTGAAGAGCCCGCTTGTGGCCACTGCTCCGCTCGCCTACACTGCACCGATCTTGAAGACTGCCCCAGTCGTCGCCGCCGCACCGGTCGTTGCTGCCGCCCCCGCCGTCGCCGTCGCCCACGCCGCACCGCTCACCTACACCGCCCATCACCCCGTCGTCGCTCTTCATTAAGGGAGAATCGTCCACTATAATTAACTATCTTTCGCCCATCTCTCAAGACAATCTCTTCAGCCGATAATGAAGACGTCCTTCATCCAACTTGGACGCATGATGATTCATTGGAACGACCGTCCGAATCGACCAGATTATCGATCAACCAGGCACTTTGACTAAACTTGTATCAGCCTGTCCTGACACGGTCGAACGACCGATCGCTACGATTAATCAATAAAGTTGCCATTTCTGCCTTTAAATGAATGTGTTCTATATATGTGTTTAGTTCCTTATTGATACCTTCAATTTGTTAGAGAACTAGAGAATCAGCACTATTTCGAAACTTATCTTTATATTTCGAATCTTTATGTTACCTCGTAATCTCTCCTCGAATTCTTCTTTGTTTCTCGTTAGATTCTTAGAATAGTCTCATCGAACGATATCACATGTTATTGTCGAACTGCGAGCGAGTCGAATTCTACTTCATTGCGTTCTCACGGTGCTGTACCTAAAGAACTAATTCCTCCGTATCACGTATCACTGGGAGCTTATCGGGGATCGCAGATTTTTCCTCACACAGTCTCGAAGAATCCGAGTTTTCGTCTCGCACGGACGATCGGCAAACAACGGAGCGTCGTGATCACGGGGTGATCTCGTTCTTATAATTTCTTTTATTTCAGCACACAACGCTACGCCCGCATGGAGTACGTCCACCTACGTTGCGTCCTACCTATCCGTTTACGTGAGGCTTTTCGCAAAATAGGATTTGGAACGACTCGATGAAAACTGTTTACCGACTTGGCGATCAACGGTTGTTTGAGTTTCGGCTTTGGCCCCCGCTCGTCCTCCGTCATGGCACTCGCGAAACGAAACTTTACCGCGCGCCGTCGGGTCACGTATTGAATATATTTACAGGGAACATACAAACCCGTCCATGCACTTTTCACGAACCTAACTTACTAAATTCTTTATGGGAGCTTTAAAAAAGTCTCCGTGAGAAGAAGGGGCAAGTTTGGCGAATTATTCAATATCGTACCTACAGTTTCGCGAAGGAAAACTGTAGATAGAACTGTCTATACATATGTCGCTGCATACGTATTGAATGTGTCGAATCCAGAAAAAACTCCAAGCATTTTTATGTTAGAAGATAGTCGTGCTAAAATATAATTTTGAATTGAAAATGATATCTTTATGAATGTAAGTTTTGATTGAGAAGAAATAAATATATTTAATATTACTTTAAATTAAATATTACTTTAGAAAAGCTCATCTTGTCTTGATAGAATATAGTTAGATTTTTTTTAAACGATTCATAAAAATGACTTAAGAAAGAAAAGATTGATTTTAATCTTATTTTAATTGTTTTGCTTTTTCAATCTTGACACATTGTCTTTTGTCGAAATCGCCATCCTTAATGCCATATATGAAGTAGAAATTGATAAATGAGATCATTAAGATTAAGCGCGTTTTCGACCATAATTTCACGTTCGAGTGCTTTTTGTTACGTCTCCGAGGACTACCACTTCTCCTTGTGTTTATGGCGTAATGTGCTTATTGTTACCAAGAGGCGAGGAGTAAAAGTAAAGTCTCAAGATCGCGAAGCCCCTTTGTTCGATCGTCAAGTGTACCCCACAAGCTCGACGACGATGATAAAAAGCTTAACGCTTCCAGAACCAACAGTTGACAAAAAAGTAATCCATATATCCTATATCACTCTCGATTTTCATATAACGTTGCTAATCTATTTCACAATTCTGCTATCGTGATTAATAATTATCATATCTTAATATTTTGGAGTCACATTTCTCTCTAATATTTATATTACATATTTTAATTTTAAATTATAATTCCTATTTGTTGATAAGAAGATTTTTAAAATATGAAAGACGTTGTCCTAAAATAAAATTTTCAAAGTTCAAGGGAATATCTCTCTCTTAACCTCTCCCGATAATTCTTAATATTTTATGCGAACAAGAAATACATTCACGGGAATGTATTTTACACGCGTACATATTTTCAGACAAGAACGTGCCTTCGGCGCATTGAATATTCCTCGACACATCCTATACACTGGCAGGGCGTTGAATTCTTATTGCATAGACCTTGAAGGTCTCTCGAAGATCACGGAAGCACTCTCCTATATAAGCATGCGTAGATATCCGCGTGCGTGCAGATCAGTCTCAGGTTCTGATCCAAAAGTAGTGAATCCATCGTCATGTTTAGGCTGGTAAGATCGACGATTCTTAACATTATTTAGCAACTAAGGCGGAAAATTTATTGCCTCTGAATAGTAAAGTAATTGACAATCGTCGAGATTAATTAATTATATTATATATATTATTTAACAGGTGTCTTATCTTGAAACTAATCAGCTATCATTTTTAAATGCATATACATACATAGGAAATAAGAAATAATGTAAAGATGATCGGAAAGATTTATATCATTTAATAAATATTTATAAAAATGTCAAAGTCTTAATCTTAGTGATTTATATTTTCGAAATGCTTAATAATACATAAATATTTTTTTTATCAAAAAAGATGTTTTTAATTCAAATAAAGTTTTTATTAAATATACTCATTAGAAGAATTTAACATTTCGAAAATATACATATATTATTGAGTGTTTGACATTTTTATAAATATTTATTAAATGCATGATACAAATATGTCCAATTATTGTTATTTTATATGTAAATAAAACTGCAGATGTCTTATTAAAAAAATATATT